TATTATTATTATTTTTATTATTATTATCATTATTGTCATTATTAGTATTATTACTATTTCAACAAATAAACAATTTTATGGATAGAGGGAGTGCGAAGCGCCCTGGAAGTCTCGTTAATTATATTTTAACATGTTTTGCTGAGGCAATGTTTGGTAAAAACCCAAAGTGCGTGGTCAACATAATTTATAAATGTTAAAATATGACATGTTCATTCATCAAAATAATCAAACTTTTTTTCTGGTTATTTTTATCATTACCGGTACACATTTGTGTTATTGAAACACCTTCAATTAAAGTTTTGAAAACACACTTTTTTTGATGATAGTAATGTGTTGTTTACGCAACAAAAGAAGCGATATTTTTTAACTCTAATCCTTCTTTTTCTTTCTTTAGTTCTACATTTATATTTTTATTTAATATGTATAAATTGCCTAAAAAGTGCTTCTCATTAAAAGCAACCATCAATGGTTAGAAAAGTTCGGGCTAAAATCAAAAAGAATAGAGTATATACTAGAGGGGAATTTAGACAATACCTCGTCGGTATGAATTTTGTCGGTCCCTTTCAGCCTGAAAGGGAGTTCAAACAGCACAAATCATGTAAATGTTCACAAATTATATACAGTAGAGTACATTTATACAGTGTGTTCCCTAGACTACCCATTTCAATTCCGATTTTTTTAAGCTGTTAAATAAACTTTATAAAATGAATTAGGTGAATAAAAAACATCATTTGATTTATAATTATGACGGAAAATCATCGTTTGTAAAGTGAAAGGCATAGAGTATATGTGAAATGATCATTGGTCAATTATGAAACCAGCCTATTTCATAATTTGGTTTACTTTTAATATTAGTTTTAGATTTTCTATAAAATGATGTTCCAGGGCCCAAAAGGTTATATAGCACAAATGTGTGAAGTACACCTGAGCCCAAAATTTAAAAGAGTATCATTGAACGAAACTCTCGAGTTTCCTTTTTGGGGTCTTAATATTTTGTAGATTTTGATTTAAGAGATTCAACAAAAATGGAAAACTATAAAGAAAATAAATGAAAAAATATTTCATAAACAAAAATATTGATATCCACAAAACTGCCTAATCCCATTCGTAAAACCCGGGTTTTAAAACTGGTTTTCATAACAATACCCTGTCTTAAGTTTTGGGCTCTGCAGTATGGAAGCGGTACAACAGAATGTCCGTTTTAAACTTTTTCTAGTAAATTCCACTCTAATATATATTCTATTCTCTTTGGCTAAAATAAATTGTTCAAATAGTGCCAATAATAATATATATTTTATATTGTTAAAACATTTTGTCAACTATATATAATGCTAGCTTGGGAACTCGGATTTGCCTGGATTTTTCCAAAGTCAACCATCTCAACTTAGAATTTCAAAACTAAACCAAGAACATTCTCGTGGTTCTCCCGAGCACCCCAATAAAAATGTGAGGCAAATCAGTCAAGAGGTTCCTGAGTTATGATCGGACATCCAAACAAACAAACAGAGTTTACAAATACATAGAAAAAAAAAAAAAATAACAATAGCTCCCTTTGTTATTCGCCAATGGGCTTAGTTTCCATAGCCACCCCCCACCCTGTATACGCCCTGAATGATTTTTGTTTGCTAATTTTGTCAAGTTTCTACGTGCAGTGGTGTAAATACTGTGCAGTGTGCTGGAGCAGCATCTAAAATCAATTTGATAAAAGTAATTATACTAAAGGAAGCTCTCCCCCCCCCCTTCGGGGTGATTGTACTTGTTATTCCAAATATATACCTGTGTCGAGGGGGGGGGAAGGGTTGGAGAAATTGTACCGTCACGACAACGCGCCCCGTGCCGCGCCTGCCCTCTCAACCCTGTGTGCATGGACATGACGTATCAGTATTCATCAGACAGTCTCAACGTGAGCACGTACACTTGTGAGCTCCCGTTATACGGTTGAAAACCAGATTTTTAATTTGGCGTGAAAACGAGAAATCATCTTAGTTGAAACACGGTGGATTAGATTCTAGGTATGTAATTAAACTTCCATTGATTAAACTCATGAAATCGTGGAATGAATTCATCCTTGAGACCAAAGTATGAAATTTGGTTTTTTGTTTTACAGGGAAGTACGCTTTAATGGAAAACCATGGTTTAATCCCCAGAAATAAAGTCCAACCTCTCTCTTTTCGCGTTCAAAGATTAGTTCCGCGTTGAAACAATAATGTTTTGACAGTGTTTATAAAGATACAAAGCACGAGAAACGTGCAAAATTGGTTTAACAGTTAACGATTATCTGTTATTTGAAACTTTTCAACCAACATTTTATGAACTTTTTACTACGCACTGTGTTCTATTACATTTTAGGAGATCATTAATTTACGTTTCATTAAAAAATTTAGCTTAATATTTTATTTCTTTTGTTTTTGTAAGTTATACATAATTATCATATATTATATGGAATTTTTAGCTTTTCATTTTCTAAAACTTATATTATATATATTTTACCCCCCCTCCATCCAATACGTAGACCCATAAATATTCACTGATTTTATTCTGTGAACAAGACGCGGGCAAAAGTTTAGACATTTCTTAATTGAGAAACATTATTTATGATAAAATTAATGCACGACCAGATTTTAGGGGTTAATGATATTTCGAAAACTTAGATTTTTTTGGGTTTTATTTTATATTTTAAAACTCTCGCAACCTCGCATATTTCCTACTCCAAAAACTATCTCTTAAAGGGACTGTAAGCGTAATTTCAAGTGACCCCTCCAATCAAAAATGGCGGTGCCTGATTATCAACGGTCCCATAAAAGCTTGATCTGATCAAGTATGAATTAGATATTCACGCTTTTGTTTTCGTAAATGGTTTACTAAATTGGGCATTGCTATCTTTGCATGGAGGGCTAATTAAAATTATTTTCCTTGGATTTTTAAGATTCAAATTATTATGAAGTTAAAATTAATCTCTTAAGCCTTTTTATATCATGATTCTAACTTTTCATTTTACACGGTCTTCCAGATACGAACACTGATTAAAAAATATTTTTATTTTTTTTTCAAGATTTTTTTCTTGTAAAAATTTAGGATATTTCAGCGAATATATTTATTTAGAACAAACTCACATATAATGGATAATATAGATGTCTACTTTTTCAACTTTTTGCTTATTCTTTGCAAAAGTATGTTTTCATGAAATATTCATATTGACAATAGTTAATTTAAAAAGCTCTCATCTTTTATTTTGCTTAAGTAGCTGTCAGAAGTTTTTCCTCTACAGCTAAACTCTTGTTGATTGAACAGAGTTTAAACTAAACGTTAAATTGGTTCTTATTACAATGTTTATTTTTGTATATGATACACACTAAACATTACATGCACAAACTTCTTGTTTAAAAAAGTCTTTATTTTTATATTCTTTTTTTTACTCAATATATCAGTTTATTTGTTTAAAAGTAATCTTTTAAAAATGATTTTTTTTTCTATAATACTTTTAACTGAACTATTTGTTTTTTTTATAAAGATCCCTGTTGGGCCATGGTTAATATTTGAGCTTTAGCTCAGCAAAATATAATTATTCGCTCATTTGTCCAGTATCTATCTATCAGCATATCTATTTATCTATCTATCTATTTATCTAGCGGCCTATCCTATCTCCCCCTTTTCTCAATTATAGAGAATCATTAAATGAAACAAGTTTAAATTACATATCTGCTATGTCTCATTACTCTATCCTGTACCCCGCCTCATTACCTATAATTTTCTTGTTTCAGATCATGGATGGAGAAGATACTACGAGGGAAGAACGGATACACTGATAGAACCCTCCCGGAGTTAGGATGGGGTTGGGTTGGTTGCTTCTCACCCTCTCCCTCTCCACCTCCCTGGCTTACCAGACACCGGAGGACTGTTCCTGGACACCGTTCCCAGGATCAGAGAAGGGGGTGTTCCTCACATGTAGATTAAGTTCAATCAATTCCAGGATGGAACGAACCAACTTCAGTGTAATTCCTAGTACGGATACTCTAGGTCTCAGGGTAGTTTGCGCTCATCCTACCCTTGGCAAACTTGAACCTCAAGGATTCTCTAGTCTACACTTCCTACAGGAGCTTGTTATTGATGGTTGCTCCTTTCATTCCATCCCGGAGAATGCATTCACTGGATTATCCAACCTGACCAAACTTACTGTGAGAACCAACAAGCTCGGTCTTACAAACATTGAGTCCGGAGCCTTTAACAATCTGACCCAACTGACACATCTTGATATTAGCATGAATTCTATTCGCAGCCTGCCAACAGATGAAATTTGCAAGCTGAGCAGTGTGATATATTTGAATGTATCCAATAATGAAATTGGCTCCGCTTCTGATCTGATCAGTTCTTCCTCATGTCTTCCGTCTCTGCGGACGCTTGACCTCTCAAAAAACGAGATAATAAGTCTGGAACCTGGATCCAGCTCCTCTATCCACTTTCTTAGTCTCAGCGGAAATTATATCAGATTTGTTTCTCCGGATGTGTTTGCCAACATGTCTGTGCATGTCCTTGATTTATCCAATAATCAGATCAACCATCTTCCTCCCCTCATCTTCCATGGTCTGCCCTTGCAGGAGGTTAACCTGGCCAACAACTCCCTCTCCTCCCTGTCCCCAGACACATTCCAGGACCAGAAGCAGTTGGAGATCTTGAACCTGGCAGGAAACCTCCTGGTTTCATCTCTCCTCGTTCCTTCTTTAACCCAGGATATGTTCAGTCTCATGGAGCTAAACCTGGAAGCAAATCAGATTGATGTTCTTCATCCTAAAGTTCTCTCCAACCTTCCTAACCTTCAGGTTCTTAAACTTGGTTCCAACCTGCTCCAGTCCTTGAAGCTACCTAGAGAAATGTTCCAACTCAGAGAATTGAACGTCTCCAGTAATCTTCTGGTGGAGGTGAATGCTGATGATATTGGTGGACTAGACTCTCTCACACTTCTCAGCCTTGCTAACAACAGGATAAACTCCATCCATCCGGCTGTATTTAGAAACACGTCCAATATCCTAGTCCTGGATATCAGTGGAAATCGTCTCACAGAGGTCCCGGAGAGCTTCAAATATCTGACCAACCTTCAAACCCTGGATATTGGAGGAAACCTTATCTCAGATTTTGACAATTCTCCGTTCCAACTGATGGAATCTTTGTGGAGACTGCAAATTCACAATAACCTCCTGCAAAACGTATCCCATGAATCCTTCTCCAGGATGAAAAGTTTACAGGTCGTGGATATGTCCCGGAATCAGATCTCCAGGATCGACCGCGGGGCATTTGACCAAAACAAGGTTCTCCGAGCGATTAGGTTAGATGGAAATCAGCTCCAAGAAATAGAAGGTATCTTCACCCACCTGCCAGAGCTGATTTGGTTGAATGTTTCTGACAATAAGATAGCAAACTTTGACTACGCCCTGGTACCACGAACCCTGCACTGGTTGGATATCTCCCACAATCAGATCAAGGAACTAGGAAACTATTTTGATCTGGACGGAGACCTTGCTCTGACCTATCTAGATGCAGGATTCAACCAGCTCTCATCCTTGTCCCCCCAGCAACTTCCAGACCTACTGGAGACCATTCTTCTGAATGATAATGAAATAAGACAGGTTCAACCCTACACATTCTTTAAAAAGTCTAAACTCGTTAAGGTTGACTTGTCAGTGAATGAGATTTCAAGTTTGACTCAGGTTTCTCTCCGGCTCTCCGCAGAGATACTTGATCTTCCATCCTTTCTGCTGGGTGGAAACCCTATTATTTGTGACTGTGAGATGCAGTGGTTCAAAACTGTGAATGATAACAACAGTATCCAGAGGTATCCAGTAATCTCCGACCTTGAGAGTATTTACTGTAGGTTGGTTTATACTGGAGAACAGTCCTTTATCCCTCTGGTTGAAGCCAGGAATGATCAGTTTCTTTGTTCCTATGAAACCCACTGTTTCTCCTTGTGTCAATGTTGTCAGTTTGACTCCTGTGACTGTGAGATGACTTGTCCTGATGGATGTTCATGTTTCCATGATAACTCCTGGACTAAGAATATTATTCAATGTTCAAGTGGAGAGTTCTCGGCTCTACCTGATAATATACCTATGGATGCTACAGAGATATTCCTGGATGGAAACAAGTTGGATATTCTCCGGAGTCATACTTTTATTGGAAGAAAGAATCTCAAATCTCTTCATCTCAATAATTCAAACATTGAGAAGATTGAAAACCAAACCTTCAACGGACTGAAAACCCTGAATTCTCTCCACCTGGAGAACAACAAACTCCGAGCTCTGGAAGGATTTGAGTTCTCCGGTCTCTCATTTCTCCGTGAACTTTATCTTCAAGGAAACCAGATTAGTTTCATCCACAACTCAACCTTCAAATCCTTGAAGAGTTTAGAGGTTCTCTTCCTTCAGGGAAACTCTATCATCGATTTCCCAGTTTGGCAGCTGGCGTTCAACCCCTACCTGGTCAGTGTCCGCCTGGCGGAGAACTTGTTCTCTTGCGACTGTAAGTACATGAACAAGTTCAGAACCTGGATCAAGGTTTTCTCCAGTAAGGTTTATGATGCAGAGGAACTAACCTGTATATCCAATGATGCCCTGACTTCAAATATCCGTATGACGGATTACGACATGTCCCCCTGTGACCCAGGGACAGGGATGGCTGTTGCCAAAACCCAGGTGCAAGAGAAAGAGGTTGAAGACTATATGCCGATGATGGTTGCAATGTTGGCTAGTTTTGGTCTTCTTATCCTTCTTGCTCTCGTCATATTTATCTTTAGGAACTCAATCCGTGTCTGGGTTCATTCAAAGTACGGAGTTCGAATGTTCGAATCTCTGGAGTCGAAGGTTGAAAGCGGAAAGCTGTTTGATGCTTACATAACCTATAGCACGGCGGATGATGCATTTGTCCGGCAAATGTTTAGTCCAGAACTTGAGACTGAGAACGGATACAGGGTCTGTCTCCATCATAGAGATCTACCAGGGAACACAGGTACAGGAGATACTGTACTCAGAGCATCTCAAGCAGCTCAGCGAACCCTCGTTCTGCTCTCAAACAATTTCCTAAAAACAGAGTGGACAAAATTTGATTTTAAGTCAGGACTCCTCCAAGCAGTCAATGGAGGGAGTAAAAAACTAGTTTTTGTGATACTTGGTGATCTTGAAGGATCACTGCTGGAGCCTAATATGAGACTCCTATTAAAAAACAATATAGTACTCCACTGGGGTGAACAACTGTTTTGGGAGAAAATGAAGTACTCCCTGCCGGACCAGGAGAAGGCAGGACCTCAGGCACCAAACTACTCCACATATAGATCATCATCAACGGGTAGTACTCCCTCTACTAGAACTATAGCACTTCATATCTAGATATCTATCTATTTATCTATAAATTTATCCCTGGAAGGTTTTCAACATGATTCCATGGTTTGCAATGCAAAGGTTCCCAACCTTTGGCTTATCTGTGATATTTCAACTTATGTTATTTGTCAAACAGTATCTGTATCAGTTTCTATTGTTAGTTCAAAATAAAACAAATTGAGAAGATTTTATCAGTTTTTTTGTCTTGCTTGTCTACTGTCTGTTACCCGATGGCTATATCTTTTACCAACACCATAAAACGATAACTGCTTAGCCCCGGTATTTTAGCAAAAAATCTCAATAATCTTTTAATCTGATTCACTAGTTCACAAAAAACGTGTTGGTATTTGCATAAAAAGGTGAATTTATCCCCCTCTCCCTAACTTGGTCATTCCACCCCCCCCCTCTTAGGTATTTTAACAGTTTTAGAAATTGATTAGCCAGGAAAGAGAAAGATTTAGAGTAATAACGACGATTGATTTTTTCAAAACAAGCTTGAACAAAGAATATGTGTAAAACTTTTGTTTATTACTTTTTAAAAAAATCACAAAATTTCTCTGTGCTCTATAGTTATTGTTTTTTCTAATTTGTTTGTTCAGAAAAGAACAAAAACTCGGATTTTCTAATCCCTATATTTTTACCACCTTATAGTGTAAACCTATGATATTTTCAACTTAGATTATTAGATATAACGGAATATATAGTTTGAAATATCCATGGTCTATACGCCATTGGAGTGCAAAGATATAAGGAATAGAAAATCAAAGTTTGTGGCAAAAACTCAATTCCTTTATTCATTATACAAATTTTACTCCTTGTTCAAACAATCCTTGGTCAAAACTATTAATTGACCATGCAGTAAAAGATTGGCAAACGAAGTTACCTTATAACCTTATAGTTTCAAGCTCTGATTTGATAACCTTTAGATAGGGTAAATAATCTTTAACCGTTGTTTCGGATTAGGTTTAAGATTGATTAGATAATTTTTTAATTTTTTTTATTAAACTTTTAAAATTGTTTTGGATTTATTCAGATTAAAACACTTATTATGGGAAGAGGGCCTTTATGATTTTTTGTGTGATTTTTTTATGTGGGAGAATTGATAATTTTGCTGCTTTGAAATTGAGTTTTTGCCATAAGCTCAAATTGTCTTAATCTTTTCAACCTGATGATATGGACCTTCTACATTTCAAACTTAGACTATTTCATGTAACAGAATTTATAGTTTGAAATATCTAAGGCCTACGACATTGGGTTGCAAAGATATAGGGATTAGAAAATCAGAGTTTGTGGCAAAGACTCCAATTAACTAAATAAAATTATTCCAGCAAAGTAAAATAGGTAAAATTTTATATGATAAAAATTTAGCATTCACTAGCAAAACTGAAAAAAACGAGCGTTAAGTGTCGTCAATTAAATTTCCTGCTTGATGAGACAAAACGTTAAATTTTACGACAAATTTTCATTCATGTTTGTTTCTTTTTGTCAAGATCTTCCAACTTAATGATGCACAAATATTTCAATGCCATAAGAAAATATATACATAAATAAAATGTGTCCCACATAAAAAAGAACTAGTTTTCAGAGTGCAACCTTTTTTTAATGACTTTTGTTAATGTTTTATTTGACCAGATCTTAATCAAAGATGACTGCCAACGGGGGAATGACTCTTGAATTACGTGTACTCCGCTGTACATAAATGCTGAATGATACGAGTACATAAATTTAACGGCATGGATAAATGTCAAGGAAAATTAATGCTTCTTGCATCGCCTTTTTACGAGGAGGACAATCAGCGCTAGAACTCTAACTTTTATTCACTCACTCTCTCCCCCTTTATTCAAGTTTATTGTCGTGTTGAATTCCAATCTGATTTTAGCTCCAACCCGGCCATGCATGAACGTGGGGTGGTGACTGGAAAATTGTTCAGTTTTCCCGCATTTTTCAATAAAACACGCGCGGATTTGCAAAATATTAGCGTGCAAATAAATATTATTTGCTAAATATATTCTACGGCAATCTGTCAAGATCTATTTAGGATATTTTTGAGATTTCATGTAAACTTTAGGATATTTCATGTTTTAACCAAAACCGCCATGAATTAGCGAATTGTAAAAAATAGATTAATGAATGAAGGATCTCAAAACGTGTAAAAATATAGAAACGTTATATAAAGTGTTTTTAAATATTCATTGCATGAATGGTCTGTAATATTTGATTCTTATGAAATTAAACTTTTAACAATTAAATGTTGTTATGCATGAAAATATGATAAATATTTTTTTTCTCTCCTCTCTTTTCTTCTTTTTCAGTTTTGTCTTCCATGTTCTTCAAATCAAATGTTGGTTTTTATTATTTTATTCTTATTTTTTCTTTCTCTAGAATATAAAGAAGAAAATTAAACTTTAAAAAATGGAAAAATGAAATGGGAGGATGCATGTTCTAAAATGAGATGAGAAGGTATAGAAATAAACCAAGGTTAGAGTTTGCAGGAAGAATTAAGGGATTTTATTGATAAAACAAGGTTTATTTTTACAGTGCAGGGTTGAAATTTCAGAATCAGGTTTTCTTTTTACAGTGTAGTGTTGGAAATTTTTATTCGAAATTTATTTTTACAGTGTAGGATTAGAATTTTATAAATCAAGGTTTATTTTTACAGTGTAGGATTAGAATTTTATAAATCAAGGTTTATTTTTACAGTGTAGGATTAGAATTTTATAAATCAAGGTTTATTTTTACAGTGTAGGATTAGAATTTTATAAATCAAGGTTTATTTTTACAGTGTAGGATTAGAATTTTATAAATCAAGGTTTATTTTTACAGTGCAGGGTTAAAATTTTCTTAATCAGGAATTTTTTTTTACATTACAGGGTTTGGTTTGGATTAAAATTAAAAGTTGTATAGGGAAAGTTTAGATTTATAGACAAAGCTAGTTCTCAAGATAATCTTTGGATGAAATTAAATTTGATTGGAGATATCATTTTTAAAAAATTAATTTTTTATAGTGAAATAAAATTTTTTAATTACAAACAAAAGTCTATTGAAAACTTAGAATTTAGACGAAATATAAAACAGTTTAAAGTATAAAAATAGTTGAAGAAATATCCATATATAAAAAGGAGTAATCTATGTTTTTCTCTTTATAATGTTCGATTATAACTCATGAATACCTTGGTCAATTCGCCTCAAATATTTGATTGGGGAACTCGGGAGAACCACGGGAATGTTCTTAGCCTGGTTTAAGAATATTAAGTTGTGAGGGTTGAGTTTTGTAGGGGAAATCCAGACCAAGCTGAGTACCCAAATCAGTAGTAGATAAAAATAATAAAAGGCATATCAATATGGTAAAAATACCAATTGAGAAGAAATTTGTTAAACTTCCTCAAACAATCTCTTTGTTACATTGGTGAACCATAATAGAACCATATTTTTAACGATTGTAAAAGCTGTAAACTCTGTATAGTCATGCACTTGGGCTTCTCCACTTGGGAAATAATGCCCTCCTTCTCTCAACCTCCCCCCCACTGCTTCTATAAGCTGTCACAACCCTTGTTTATTCTGTTGCACTAATTGCAGTGAGAACTAGATTTAAAGGGACTGTAAGCGTAACAAAAATTTCAAATTTTTTCTTTCTTTTTCTTATTTGGAATAATTAGAGTAGGCTTGGTGATTAAATGATTAGATTTAGTTATAATTATACAATTAAAACATCCGGCTCTATTTAGAATTTTAGATATTTGTGGTGACAACTCATTATTTTTCCTAAAGTTTCAATCTATCTGTCTATCTAACTATTATCTAACTATTTATCTTATTATCTTTAAATATACTTTTCTTGATAGGTGTTTGTATGCTTGTGTGTTTGAATCCAATAAACGTCAAAACAGCTTAACTGATCGGGCCCAACTTTTGTGTGGGACCGCACATGACCTCAGGGAAGGTTTATGGATGATCAAAATTTCAAAAATTATTCTTCATTCTCCAACAAAATTTGATTTTCATTAAATTTTTAAGTTGTTGTTTACAATGTATACAAAAAGAAAATATTCACAATTGAAATAGAAATTGGGCACGAAGCGCCCTGAAAGCCTTGTTTATTTATTGGAGATTTCGCTGAACTACCGACTAAATCCTGAATCACTGATTCAAATCCGTCTGAACCTTTAAATTTGATAGTTAGGATTTTAACCGGTGGTATGGGTGGTTCAGTACCTAGCACAAGTTAATTAAAGTCGGTTCTTGAATTCCTATAATTTTCTCAAATTGTCAAACAATCCATATATATATATACACATTCAAGACTGTCATCAATATACATTCTTCAAATACGCCCTCCCCTTTCTTCTCCACACCCCCACTTCCTTTCCATTCTTCTCCAACTCCTTCCCTTCCCTTTCCTTCTCTTCCTTCTCCGCCCCCCTTCCCTTCAATTCTTCTTCCCCCCCTCNNCCCCCTTTACCTTTTTTGTTTCCCTTCTTACCCCCTGTCCTATTAGTCCTGTTTGTTTTCTATGATTATTATGTCCTGTTTTTCCTATTTGTTCTGTTTGTCCTATTTGTCCTATTGGTCCTTTCTGTCCTATTTGTCTTGTATCCTATTGGTCATGTCTGTCCTGTTTTCCCTATTTGTATTGTCTGTCCTATTAGTCCTGTCTGACCTATTTATCCTGTCTGTCATATTGGTCCTGTCTGTCCAATTGGTCTTGTCTGTCCTATTTGTCCTGTCTGTCCTATTTTTACTATCTGTTCTATTGGTCCTGTCTGTCCTATTTGTCATGTATTTTCTATTTGTCCTGCTTTGTCGTCTATCCTGTATCTCTTGTTTTTCTTGCCTGCACAATTTGTCCTGTACATTTATAGCAAAAAACGAATAAAGCGTATAAACAAAGCGTTGGTTCTCGTTGAAACTTACGAGCGTAGACCTTGCCTTGAAAATTGGCAATTGAATCAAATATAGCTTGAAAGATAGCTTGGGTTCTCGTTGAATTATACGTGTAGAGATTTTGGCTGTGTGTCCTAGCATCGGAGAATTAGTCCTGGTTGATATTGGTAACGAGCAGACCTGGATAGATACGTCTCGAGTAAACTGTTATGGAGTAGGTATTTGTTACACGTGTATATCTGCTCTATATCTACCATGTCTGAACCTCTATAATTCAGTCCTCAAATGCATGACAAACACTTGAGAAA